CCGACGCCCCCGCCAAGGAGGTGGCCCCTTGAGATCTACAGGAACCGGCGGCACTTGGCTCCTTTTCCAAACATGTCTTCTCTCTTAAATCTCCTTCTTGACCTCCAACCCTGAAAAAGCCTGTTTCTTTCTTAGACATCATAAGCCCTGAGCTGTCTGTCCTACCAGGTCACAAAAGCTCCTATGTAGCCCACTGATTTCGACATCTTATCAGATGAGTAGCCGCTCCTCCCTCCACCTGTCCTTGGCTGCCAGGCTCCACCAGGGAGCTTCTCCAGCCGTCTGCTCACAGCCAAGCTACTCTCCGAGGCCCCCGTGTTCATGGAATCATCTCACCCTCTTATCTGGGAAACTGCAGCTTTCCTTGAGGAAATTCTTCAGCCCCATCCCTGCTGCCCTGACGACTTGACTCATAAAAGCAACACAGGCCCAGTGCAGTGGCTCAGTGGTTGAGCATCGACCTATGAACCAGGAGGTCACGGTTTGATTCCCAGTCAGGGTTGTGGGCTCGATCCCCAGTGTGGAGCATGCAGGAGGCAGCCAATCAGTGAATGATTCTCTCTCTCCCTCTCCCTTCCTCTTTGAAAGCAATAAAAATATATTTTAAAAAATTAAAAAATAAAGGCAACGCAGTAGGAAAAACAGAAACTAAGTAGGTACTTATAAGGCTGGTAAGAACTGCAAAAGAAAATGGCTGGGATGCTACAGAAACACTGAAAAAAAAAATCTTGTAAAAGCTCTACAGAAAAACAGGAGCAGCTGACAAAGCGCCAAGCTGGGGGTGGGCGGGCAAACTGCCACAGAGGGGCCCGCAGAGTGGGCAGACGGCAGCAGGGCCAGGACACAGCCCTGGACAGACACCTGAGTCCCCCAGGCTGTCCTCACCACTCTAGACCTGCCCGGCTCTCTGGGGGAAGTAAGCGAACGTGAAGGATTCCGGGAATGCTGCTGCACAGCCACAAGGATCCATCTCAAGCACATGTATGTAACGGCCTCGAAAGGCAACACTGGGAGGGGGTCAGGGTCATCTCCCGGTGGGAAACGGCTCAGGGGGGCCCGAGGCTGAGGTGGGGGCAGGAGGCTGACCACGAAAGTCTGCGGGGGGGGGGGCACACCCTGGAGTGATGGACATGAGCTGTGTCCTGACTGTGACGGTGGTGGTCTGGGGCACTCGGCCTGTGTCACAACGTCTAGAAAGGCAACTGCAAAGGGCAAACTTGGTTGTGTGTAAAGTACAGCTCCATTAATCTTAAAAAAAAAAAAGACTCCGCCCTGACCAGTTCGGCTCAGTGGATAGAGCAACAGCCTGCAGTCTCAAGGGTCCCGGGTTCGATTCCGGTCAAGGGCATGTACCTTGGTTGCGGGCACATCCCCAGTGGGGAGTGTGCAGGAGGCGGCTGATTGATGTTTCTCTCTCATCGACGTTTCTAACTCTCTATCCCTCTCCCTTCCTCTCTGTAAAAAATCAATAAAATATAAAATAAAATAAAAAGACTCCATAAATCAAACTGAGCATGGGCAATGGAATACTACTCCACAACGAAAAGGAATGAAGAACTGCCATCAGCCTCGGTGTGCAGAGGCCACCATCGAGGTGTGGGTAAGCACGCGCCACGCTGCGCGCACAATAACGAGGCTGCCTAATGACACGTCTCAGAACACAGCGGCCGCTCGGCAGCACAAGGTGCATGGGAAAGGTGCAGCCGTCCTCCCTTCCTGATGTGTGAGCAGGAGCATCAGCAGATCGCAAGCTCTGAGAAGCCCCCGGGACCAAGAACTCACTTAACTCTGTGTAGCCCTGCCTTTCCCCTTCGAACATTCCTAGACTCCTAGACAGGCACTGTCCAATTGAACCACAGGCGGGGGCAAAAGTAGGTCTGCAGTTGTGAGTACGAGAAACAGTCTATTTTTCTTCTTCTGTGTTAATGACTGTATTATTTTCCATACGAACAACTGCAGGCCTACTTTTGCCCCACCCTGTATATACACCATATATAAAAAATAGATCACATACATATCATAGGGATGTGTGTGGGCACATATGTCTATTCTTTTCACCGTATCAAAAAATGAGAGTGTGAATTCTTCTGTGCAGAGCAGCTTGCAATGTATTCAGTAGCATTTTTAGAGGAAAAGCTCTTCAAGGATAAATTAAAGATTACTCCCTCACTCGTAATCACACCCGTCACTAGATTAGAATAAACAACCCACAGAACGATAAGAGGAAAGTAGGTCCCCCGACCGGAGGCCTGGCGTCAGGAGGAGAGGAGAGCTCACCTTGCAGGGTTCTGATGAGCCTCTCGCCTGTGGTGATGTTATTCACCAAAACCGCCTGCAAGGAAGATAAACGCAGAATGAAACACCAGAACCCACCCCAGTAAAACCT